AACCCAATCATACAGATTTTGCATATGGTGACCCTGTGTTACCTTGGCAACCATGGAAGTTATTTTTAGAATAATATTGCCAATACGTAATTACCTAAGGTCAAATATTTTTCATAGTTTTTCTCAGGTTGTTGATTGAATTTGATCATGTAACATCTATCATTTGTGAATATTGAGCGTTTTTCAGCATTTTTCAGCATATAAAATGTATGTCAAATGTACCGATGGTTACCACTTACTTAGAGATAAATTCTAAATAGTTTTTTATAGCATAACTTGCAACAAGGTGTTATGTTTTTGGGAGAATGGTTTGTGTTTTTCTTAGTCTTTATTAAGGCTTAATAAAGATTTGAAGTAGCTGAAAATCTCAATTTTTCAACTTTTCTGGCTGTTACCATGGCAACCAAGACACATAGCAACGAAATTTTATTTGATATAAGTTTCAGGTGTCAAGTTGTAATAATGGGTTCATCAAAATCGGTGACCATGCGTGGCAAAAAAGTTTAAGTGGTTACAGAGAATCGCTATTAATTTTTAGCATTTAACTAACTTACAGTAGATATTAAAGTAAATATTTCGTCGACCTTCTCTTCGCAGTGGTATTATTTTTCTCTCCATTGTTTACTTCTCAGCATAGAGTGTGCTATTAATACCGACATGTGACTTTTCATACAAACGGGACGTAACTCTAAAACGTGATTACGACTGAATTTTAATCAAACAGATGTAATATTTTAAATTTTAATGGACAACTTCAAGCGGGTTTTTTTTGGTTCCGGTGTAAAGACAAATAATGATCCCCATAAAATAATGACCGGGGATCATTTTTCGCCGTCGAATAATGACCCCCGGTCATTATTCGAGGACTATTGATTGATTGTATGTTGTTTTACGTCCCATTCGAGAATATTTCACTCATATAGAGACGTCACCATATACCGTTGAAGGGCTTCAAATTTTGACCTTTACTCGGCACTTAGGGCCATTGAGCAGTGAGGGTTCTTTATCGTGCCAACGCCTACTGACACGGGGCATCGGTTTTTGAGGTCCAAAGGACCCGCAACTTTCACTTCAAGTGCCGAGCGCATGGCGAAGGAACAGTTGCTACCCATTTTTAGCTCACCTCAACGAAGTTGGGGGAGCTTATGTAATACCCTCGGCGTCTGCGTCGGCGTCGGCGTCCCAGGTTAAGGTTTCTGGAGCAGTTTTCTTTTCAAGTACTTCTATGGCCTATATTAGTCAGAGATGCATGGAGGATGCTACTAATGTGTTTTATTGTACAAGTCAAGGTTTCAGATGCTGCAATTTCAGCTAAAGAATGACCAGGTTAATGTTTTTGGAGCAGGTTAAAGTTTTTGGAGCAGGTTAAAGTTTTTGGAGCAGGTCTCATTTCCAAGTAACCATAAGCCCTATATTGACCAAACTTGCACGGATGATACATCTAAGGATGAACACTACTGGACTTGAATCAGATTCTGGATCTGACCTATATTTTTCGGATGAGTGACCAGGTCAAGGTTTTTGGAACAGATCTAATTTCCAAGTAACTATAAGCCCTATATTGACCAAACTTGCATGGATGATACATCTAAGGATGCACACTACTGGACTTGCTTCGGATGCGGATCTGACCTATATTTTCCGGATGAGTGACCAGGTTAAGGTTTTTGGAGCAGATCTCATTTCCAAGTAACTATAAGCCCTATATTGCCCAAACTTGCATGGATGATACATTTAAGGATGTACACTACAGGACTTGCTTCGGATGCTGGATCTGACCTATATTTTCCGGATGAGTGACCAGGTTAAAGTTTTTGGAGCAGATGTCATTTCCAAGTAACTATAAGCCCTATATTGACTAAACTTGCATGGATGATACATCTAAGGATGCACACTACTGGACTTGCTTCGGATGCTGGATCTGACCTACATTTTCCGGATGAGTAACCAGGTTAAAGTTTTTGGAGCAGATCTCATTTCCAAGTAACTATATGGCCTATCTGAACCAAACTTGCATGGATGATGCATCAAGGGGCAAACAATCTCAAAACTTGCTTCGGATGCTGGATTTGACTTACATTTTCTGGATGAGGACTAGTTTTAAGTTTTCAGATAAGTCTATTCCCAAGTAACTGCAAGCCCTATCAGACCAAAATTGCATAAATGTTGCATCTAGGGATGCACACTCCTAGATTATTAGTTTAGTGTGGGACTTTGCCTTACTTAAAGACAACATTCGTTGAGGTGAGCTCTGTAATCTCTGATTACCTATGTTTTATCGACTGAGGTCAGTCTCGGCCGAGATTCGAACTCACGACCTCCCGATCACGGATCGAGTGCTCTACCGACTGAGCTACCGTGAAGGGGTCGACGTCGAAAAATGACCCTTTTGCTCGTAGAAAAAGTGTCATCACCCTAAAAATCTGCATACCCTACGAAAAGAAAAATGACCCCCGTAGAATGATGACCCTTGTAGATTAATGTAGAAATTTTTAGGGGGCATAAAAAAATAAATCAAGAGACCTGTTGGCCAAAATGCTCACCTGAGCTAAATTGGGAATGAATCGATATGTTGATCTAATTACGTTATACAGTTATTGCTGTTTTAAGGTCAATGCGATGATTCAGATGCGTAAAAGATTTATCGAGCCCTAAGGGCGATGTGAACATTGTTTTTCGATGGTGGAAAATCATTGTACTGACAGAAAAAACAGCAATAATTGTAGGAAAAATAAATCCTTATGTTCACCTGGAATGTCAATAAAATGGTCTATCTTCAATGATAAATTGAAAACAATAATCTACTCCAAAATACACTGTATTGAAATGTTTCCACATTGATTTAACAAATGAATCACTGTTTAAAGTAGATTTTAAAAAGAAATATACCTCTTACATGTATGTATCCTATTCTCAGACGACCATGTAAACAGACTTGAATGTTCATTATACATAGTACTGGGATTCTTCTTTATTACTTCTATGCATTTGAAAAGAAATTCTAATAACCACTGTTTATATAAATTTTATGTCCTTATCGGACTTTTGCGAGAAGCACTGACTTTTACAGTCAAAGGCTTACTCTGTGCTATGTATGGAGGTACGGAATGGATAATAGATTTATTAAAACCTTAACAGTGGCTCTAAGTGTAGTTTTAGTGGTTCTAACTTGATTAAACGGTATACAGCCAACACAAAATATGATGGGATGCCGAATAATATAGCTTAAAACACCTTATTCGTAAGGAGCAGTATCTCCTTACAATCTCTCTTTCGTAAGGAATCAAATAAGTAAAAAAAAACATTCCGGAGGGAAAACTTAGCAGGAGTTGATCAAATTGGGAAGAGAGGAAATTGAGGAAAGGGTAGTTACCGTTTTCTTCCTAAGAAACGTAATTCATGCTTTGAAATGACCCATTAGTATCTTTAAATTAACTGCTTAGCTAAAACTTTTTATCGCAAAAGAGCTTCCGTATATTGCCCTAGTGTAAAAGTAAGCCGTCGACTGTAAAAGTCAGCGCTTCTCGCAAAAGTCCATTATGTTTGCTCGTCTGCTTAATATTTAGATGTTCTACTGACCATAGACGATAAAGACCAACTAACAACTAAATTGTCTGACAAAAGGGATGACTTCATCTTTTCCATCGTCAACTTTCCTTATTTATGTAGTAATATTCCGCTATCATTTGCATATGATGATTACGTCTACCAACGTATTCGATACCAAAGAGCACGATAAATTTTTTAAATCGAGGCAGACTACTGACAGATACATGTAAGTTGATGTTACAAGGGTTTCAAAAACCTCGTTTAAAGTCAGCATTTCGTATATTCAATGGCCGTATCAATGACCCTGTCAACAAATAAAACCTATAATTGGGTCAATTGTTTGGCCTTTGTTTTTATACTAAATTTGACAACGGAATGTCCCGTTACCTGATTTAGTCATAGGGCTCACGGCTGGTATGACGGGTCAACAGGGGATATCTTACCCTCTCTAGGCACCTGATCCCACCTCTGCAATTTTCGGGGGACCTTTTATTAGGGAATATATCAACAGTATGTCGTTCGCACGAAATATTATGTCATTTGCAATACATTTACCTCATATGCACGACTTCTTATGTCATTCAATATATATATATATATATATATATATATATATATATATATATATATATATATATATATATATATATATATATATATATATATATATATATATATATATATATATAAGGGATGTCAACGAATATTCCAACATTCGAATATTCATTCGATGAGTTGATATTCGAATATGAATTTAAGATTCGACTATTCGGTGTTTTTCAGATTTCCCAAAAAAGGTTTTAAATTTTAATTAGAACAGTGCTGGAATTATCCCTGTTTAATTTACTAGCGATCCCCTGATTCCTTTCGCCACTTTCTTATCATATAGGTCTTCTAAATTATTTCATAATGGGTAAGATATAAAAGAAATAAACAAGAATTATTAATGTATAATACAAAAAGTACTTTCAATAGTTTAATATGATCGGATATAGAATCGAGGACAACGAAATGAAACCTTTCTTGAATGTCTAAGAGACATGATGAGTGTACTTATGAAAATGAATTTTATTGATCATTAAATTACATCTTTGATAGAATCAGTCTGTAATATTGTAAAGGGCCCAATTTCAGAATAATACATCAATTGCTTTATTATCTCGGGTTGAATATTAATTTTAAAATTTTAAAATCATTATCGGGAAATTAATGACCTAGGAAAATTGTCAATGGAAGTGTTTGTTTATATTGTCAAAACATTGTATCAAAGATTATATTATATCTTTTATTACGCAGATAATTGTAATTAATTACGTGACGTATTTAAATCTGAAGAGTAAACGACAATCTAGCCCCTGGTTAGACGACTGGTTCGTCAGTTTGAGCTTGTATAGATATCATTTGTTAAAATTATATTTCTGTTGTATACACTCAGGGACCTATATACTAACGGGATAGGCAACTCCTTCAGCGCCATGTTTATGTACCCAGAACGGCACACACAACACTGCAAGTTTTTCAAACTACTTTTTTCCCCAGTAAAAAGCTTGTTTTCTGATTAATGTAATCTGTTCTTTTTGTGTATCGGAATGGATATTTAATAAATTTTAAACCACATATTATAAAATAATCTAGATATTAAGTAAACAACCACCAAAATCGGCGATTTCTCGGAAATACGGCCGATCAGGGACACGCAATGATTTTTAAATAAACGTAATTACTTCTAAGATAAGGAGTAAAAACGGTGCTTATAACAAATCTTGAATAATTTTTTGATAGATAAATTAAGATTTTATGCAGAAATATTTGATAGCAAAAGAGATGTATTTTATTAAAATTGACTTACGAAATCCCGCAACTTACGAGGTATCGCGAGACTTCCGAGAGTTGCCTATCCCGTTAGTATATAAGTCCCTGATACACTTAAATCAATTATTTATTTTAAACATTAAAAAATATTAAATGCAGAATTCCTTATTGTATACCTACCAAAATCTACATCCAATTTTACTTCCAAATACCGACGCAAAACCTGCCATGAGAGTATGATGATGTACATTTAAAATAAACCAGATTGCATTTATTTTATCGAATATTCGAATATATTTGAATACTTTCATTGAATATTCGAATATGAATTGTTGAAAAATTTGACACCCCTAATATATATATATATATATATATATATATATATATATATATATATATATATATATATATATATATATATATATATATATATATATATATATATATATATATATATATAAAACATTGCATAACGTTCCGTATTTATTTCCCAAAACTTATGTCATTCATTTTCTTTCACTTTTTAAAAAAACAATTGATCGTACTCAAAGCATGCAGAATATTTTGGGAGACATGTTTACCATTAAAAAGCCAGAATATCCCGCCTGTCTGTTATTTAGGCATGGATGTCTATAATCAGTCAAATATCCAAATATGAAACAAATGGAAGACAGTCATAAAGGGATTGATTGATTGTATATTGTTTTACGTCCCATTCGAGAATTTTTCACTCATACAGAGACGTCACCATATACCGTTGAAGGGCTTCAAATTTTGATCTTTACTCGGCACTCAGGGCCATTGAGCAGTGAGGGATCTTTATCGTGCCAACGCCTGCCGTGACACGGGGCCTCGGTTTTTAAGGTCTCATCCGAAAGACCCGCAACTTTCACTTCAAAGTGCCGAGCGCATGGCGAAGGAACAGTTGCTACCTATTTTTTTATCGACTTAGGTCTGTCGCGGCCGAGATTCGAACTCACGACCTCCCGATCACGAAGCGAGCGCTCTACCGACTGAGCTACCGTGAACGGTAGTCATAAAGGGAGATTATGTTAAGAGTTATAACCAATAGTAGCCATTTTGCGATTTTCAATATGTGCTGAGAATACAATAGTCTTAAAATAAATAGAAATATGCATGTAAATGTGATGCTGTTTTATTGCATTTTAATTGTGCGTTCGTTTAGTGCTGGTCAAAAAGGGCATTAAGAAGAATTAAACATTGAGGTTCAAACCTTGGCGGCCGTCACGTAGCTCAGTCGGTAGAGCGCTCGATCCGTGATAAGAATGTCGTGTGTTCGGATTACGGCCGCGACTGACATAAGTCGATAAAAAATAAGCAGCAACGGTTCCTTCGCCAAGCGTTCGGCACTTTGAAGTGAAAGTTGCGGGTCCTTCGGATGAGCCTTAAAAAACAAGCCGCGGTGTCACGGTAGGCATTTGAACGATAAGAACCCTCACTGCTCAATTGCCCCGAGTGCCGAGTAAAGATATAAATTTGAAGCCCTTCACTGGTATATGGTGACGTCTCTATATAAGTGAAAAATTCTCGAATGGAAGTAAATCAACATACAATCAATCAGTCAATCAAACCTTGGCATCAATCACTTGTTACAAATTTTTTATCACTCTGCTGGATAGGGGGTCATTTTTCAACGGGGGTTAATTCTTAATAGGACATACATATAAAAAAAACATGACCCCTAGGGCTCTCTTTCTACTAAAAATTACCTTTTTCTACGGCTAGGAGTAATTTTTTGTCGTTGAAAAATGACCCACCCACCCCTTTCATTATTCTATGGGGTCATTATTCCTCTTTAAACCCGCAAACCTTTTATGTTCAGAGCCTTGCTTGATTCAGTGTATATTAACCTGGAAATGAAACGTTTTCTACTGCACAGATGATGTCTTCAACTTGTGTATTTTGTACATGTTACATACTTGTTCACCGTACTCATTTTTTTCGTGACATGACTTTATGAAGCTTTCATTTTCATGTTTGGTAAGATAATTTGTTGTAAAGTAGATTTTGAATTATAATTTATTTCATTAAACAATCTCTGGCAAATAAAATCGACTCGTTTAAAGTATATTTTTCTCAAATTCTATGGTCGATACAATGACTTTGTCAGCAAATACAGTCTATCCTTAAGTCGAATGTTGAATGAGTTTTTCTTACAAATTGTTAGGTCATTATTTTCACACTGAATTGTCTACGAATTCATTCGTCCGATCATGAGATGGAAAACACGGTGTGTGTGACATGTCGATAGGAGATGCATACTCCTCCGTGGCACCTGATCCAACCTCTGATGCTAGAGGTCCGTGTTTGCTCTGGTCCAAATTTCTATTGTTTCAATGGAACTTTGAGCTTGATTACTGACCGTTATCTTTATATTTCATACAATAGTGGACACAGAAAGGCTAAATAATCATGAGCAAATTATTAGTTTTTACTCATTGAAATTGTTAAGTCACTACTTTTGATTAATATGTCAATTTTAATTCGAAGAGCACAGGTATTTTCTGCAGAGTTTTACAATCTTTGAACACTGTACGGCATTACGTGAGATATGTAAGCCTACTCCCAAATCAGTGTTTAACTCAATATGTGAGTATTATTCAGATCAAAATACAAGAAACTTACAAATTACTATAAATCATAAAAAAAAATTAATCACCCTAATTCCCAGGGAGGGAGATCTAGGGTAGGCACGTGATGGCTGATGTTCCGTGGTGCTTCTGAAAATTCCAATTAAAGTTCACCTTACAGGATATTCTTTAATACTTTGCCACGTGGGAAATGTTTAAAGTAAATATTCAAACATTGGAAAAGGGGATTATTAAATCATAAATTACGAAATCCCGAATAAACGTCAAAGACTCATTGAATATTCTTATCATCTACGAAGGCAAGACTTAAAATTCGTATCATTATCAAAAAAATAAATTCATCATATAATTCACAAGGACTTTCTTCGTAGACCATCCAACATCTAATAAGATATTGTTAACTAAATTCCAAAAGATGTGCGGCTGTGCTTGCAGCAGTGAAACTACTAAGCCATGAAAACTTGAGGGCATCAATACCAGATTTGGATTTGAAATATTCTTTTCCCGCGAGAAATGTCCTTTGATGCCCCCCAATACACAGCTTTTTAGCTGTGAGAAAATATTCCCTATTTTTTCTTCTAAACTTTGCCTTTTTTAATATTTTACAATTTATTTATGTACAGTATGATGCAATATATATTCGTAAAAAATGACGGCAAATTTACATTCGCGTTTCGACCTACATATTTATAGGTGAAATAAAGTAGTTTATAAATCTATTGGAATTTGGGTAGTTATTTATAACATTGTTTAATCATGTGACATTTCATTTGTCACATGGTCTTATTGTCGTCTGCTTCGTAAACAGAAGCAAGATGGGCGCAAAATGGAAGGAGTTGAGCAACAAGGTAAAAGAAATCGCTTGGAGGTCATTACAAGAAGGAAAAACTATCAGCTACATATCAGAAACATTGGATGTGTCCAGGACTACAATCGTAAGTTTTAAGAAACGTGTAAAATGTCGAGGTTTCATAGAAAACATCCGGGAACGAAGCAGAAAAACCTATCGTGACAGCCCGAAACTATCGAAAAGCTAGATAGGCTCGTAAAATCCCACAGAAGAGAGAGTTTACATAATATAACTGACAAATATAATGAAAAGAAGGAACGGTCAATATGTAAACGAACTGTACAATTACATCTGGACAAAAATTGATTCGTGAGACGAGTTGCAAAGAAAAAAAACTGGTAATTCGAGAGGTTAACAGGGGAAAGCGCTCATCATGGTGTCGAGAAAAGAGAAAACTCACAGTTAACAACTTCTGGAGAAAAATGATATTCTCAGATGAATCCAAGATTTTTGTGGGACAAGATTCTCGTGTATATATTTGGAGAAAAACGGGGCGAGGGTTGGAGGCCGGATGTGATAGAGACGCGGAAAACCAAACCATGTTACCAAGTTATGATGTGTGGATGTATCACCTGGCATAGAGTTGGCACTATTTCTGAAGTGGATGAAAATATAAATGCTGATAAATATAAGAAAATCTTAAACGACATTTAGGCCGTCATTTTCCGACTGGAAATTATATTTTCCAAGATGATATAATGCTCCTTTACATCATGCACGTTCAACGCAGGATTATTTGCACAGAAATGGCATTGGAATATCTACAAGAAACTGATTATTACAGTAAAATTTAGAATAAAATAATAAGAACAATTTTGATGAGAAATACATTTACATGTACATAGATCAATTTAATTTTTTAACAGTTTACATTTTTTTTTTACATTTTACATATTTTTTAAATTTTAAAGTGACAATGTGACGGACAAACGGGAAAATTGTCAACAGTAGAATTTTTGCATGTGTTCAGTTCTTGAAGATATTAGGTTTCAGAAAATTACGGGTTTCAGAACCTAAAAAATCTAATTTAATGGAGAAAAATAAAAGTAAAAACAAGATGTGTTTGTGAAACACTGATGCCCCCGTATGGCAGCTTATGGCGAAGGTTAAAGTTTCTCAAATGCAAGTCAAAATCCAGGCCAAAAGATAAAAAATGTTTAATTCGAAAGCCCTAGCTGCAACTGTTCAAAAGTTATGGCGAAG